GTTGGAAAATGGAAAAAATCACGTCTATCAAATAGGGTCGTAAGATACTCGAAGTGTGAATTCAACTGCCTTGTTCACAATTTAGCACAATTTGATAGAGGTGTCAAGTTGGACGGGCCGGTCAGTTCCTTGAAAATCGGCTCTGATCGACCCGAAACCCAGGCCGAACTGCGACCCGAATTTTATGTAAACATTTCTTAGTATAAATATGAATTTATCATTTTGTTCAATTCTTAGTTTACATTTAACAAAAAAAAAATTTTTTTCTATAAATATGAAAAATTCTATATTTTTATAATTTTAGTTATACAATAATATGGGCCAAATCTGAACAAACCACGACCCGTGATCCGCATGGGCTCCACCCGGATGGATCAGCGGGCGGACCTGGGTTGTAGTCCAAAATTTGTGGGTCGACTCGGAATCGNTGAAACCCGTATCGGGCGGGCTTTTTTCCACGTCGACCGTTATTGGGCTCATATGTTATCGGGCCTATCTGGTCCGGACCACCCAAATTGACATCTCTACAATTTGACATGGGTCGCATCACGAACTAGTTTGCCAGGAGGAGCAACCTAGGTTGAGCCTCCTTTTTGGGATAGCCTTACGTACTCCCAATTTGAACCCATGCCACTACTATTTTTATTTTTGTTGAAAAGTAGTTCTTTTTTGGCTGATTCTACGTATATTATTAACTCTAAACTTGATATTATTCCAATGTACAGAGATCAAGTCTTGCAAAAACTTAACGGTACGTCTAAGTTTCGAAATAATTTTTGATAATTATATGCAAACACAGTAATTAATTACTTTTATTTTTCAAATTAAATTTTGTCATTTAAGGGTGAAGCAACAGGGAGGATTTTAAAAAATTAAGCTGGACAAATATATATAAAAAAAGTCCACGAAAAAACTTCATTTCGTAATTTAAGAATAGAATATTTAACCTTTTAAAAGAATAAAAGTTTTAATCTTTCGAATTAAAATATTTTAATTTATAGTTTTAATTAAAATTTTCAATTTTAACAAAAAGTTAAAAACAGAATAATTTTATATTGTAGTTTATAATTTTGGATTAATTGCGAGGGTTGAATTTGCCACTGTAAAAGGGAGAGATCTTCATGGTTTTAACCATAATTTGGAAAAAATAATTTGATAGAATATTTTCACATGGTAATTAGCACAAAACGTTCACACACCTCATTTTTTTTTCTTTACATTTCCTCTCTTATTTTCATCTTTCATTGTCAACAATGTTTTTTCATCTACTTACCGTCAGTTGCTCCATTAATTTAATACAAAAGCCATTATAATTAGCACTAAACATCTTTATCCTTCAATATTATTATGCAAAACGTCTTTATCTTTCATTTTTTTTTTTGACATTTTTACCCTTATTTTCACATTTCTTTCCAAAAACATCTTTCCGTCCACTTAACGTCCATTGCTTCATTAATTCAATACAAAAAACCAATTTTCTTTTCAAGTACCAAGGGTAAAATAGTATCAACTCATTTAACCCCTTCTTCCAACCTTCAAAATAGTTATTCCATAAATAACAGTAACGTGAATGTGAAATATAATTTATAAAGTTATTACATTAAATAAAAAAATGGTGTAAAGAACATTGTATTTCATCTAACCCAATCACTCTTTTGCAACCCTTAATGAAACTATCCTTCAATGTTGGAGAATTCAGACAGCTGTACATCTTATATTTTTTGAAAGAGTAAAAAACTCATCTTTCCTAGTAATTTTAAATAAGCAAGATAAACAACACAAATGAAAGTTGGCAAATTCCACCCTAATAGAATATTTAGACAAAAAATCATCATTAGAGACAAAATGTTATAATTAATCGAAGGTTAAAACATATAACTACGAGGAAAAAAGTTGGGGATAAAAGTACAAAATTGAGAAGTATCATTAAAATTTAAAATATTGTGCAATTATGAGCTGTTTTAGACTTCTCCATGGATACATTTAGGAGTTAAACTCTCTCATATCCAATCTCTGGTAGGGTTCCTTTGGAGAATAATGTTATTCATAGTTAGTTATTGTCGTAGTCATTCTACGTGGCAACTTGTTGTTTGATATATTAATTTTTTTATAATTTTGTTGTCTCAAATAACAAAATGTCAAATAAGATGACTATTGTAGTCACTGACTATGAATAGTATTAATCGCATTTGAATAAGGATTTTGCCTTTAGTCTTGCCCAAGCGACATACCTGATAAGCTAGGAAATGAAAGTGGGTCCATGTAAATGATCGAGACCTTGCAAACAACAACGCTCATTTCCCATAAGAAGTTTGGAACCAAAAGACAATCGTTGATCGAATTGTATCTTCTTTGTGTTGATTGACCTAAACTGCATCCTAATTGCTAGGGCGGGGATAGACCTTCGAACCGTCCCACGAAATTAACCCTAGCTAACTTATTTCCTTAATTGGTGTATCACCTCCACAGCACGAACATTCTTTTGGAGGACAAGCACCCTCTAGCAAGGAAAAGGCCATTTTAAAGCAAACACCCATGTCCCTCCCCTTGAATTCAGCAATTATAAAAACCAACCACCTCAAGATATATAGAATAAAAAAATAATGTTGTCTCATTCATTAACATTAATTTAAGGAGCGTTTGGGTTGTTGATTTTTATAAAGTTTGCCTTAATGTCTACCAGCCTGTGAATGATCAGTGTGGGACCTTTTACTCTTCCATCATTAGCATTTCAATGTTATGAGCTTCGATCATGATTCATTCAAGATGTTGAATCTACATAAACATCATCTCCTTTATTTATTCGTTTGACAGATTAACGATTAAACAATCTCATCTGAAAATTTAAAATTTTAAAATTGAGCGAAGAAATTTATTTATGAAGAGTTTATTTTCAATAAAAAGTTAAACTCTTAGAAAGAAAAAGTATTTACTTATTTATATTTTATCTCGGACTATATAAACACAAATAATATCTTCGAGCGAAAATTCCCTACTTCTGAAGTAATTACCTACTCAATTGTTTTTTTTAAATTCATTTTTTTGTTGAAGGGCCTGTAAGTAAGTATAATATACATTTTTTAATTAATAAATAGAGGTTGTTAGGCAGTCTCCTAAGCCTTGAGAATGCGATGCTGGCTGAGTGAGGCAGGCATCCTCTTTGAGAAAAACGAAAGCATTTAAGTCAATAAAAACAGATGTGGACTTCTAGGAATAATCAATTAAAACCCCATCCCTACCCAATTATTAATTAAAGAATAATGCTACTTGCAGTCGTTCACTGCAACTGTCAGCTCTATGTGGCACACACATGTCAAGTGTGTATTTGATGCATTAAATGTGGTCAAAAACTACTACATTAATGTATCAAATAATTACATGTCATGTGTGTCACATAAGAGGACTGCAAGTAGCATTACTCTTAATTAAAACTCCAACTGCTTTTAAAAACCATTAAAGTATATATCAATCCACAAACTGGTTTATATCACCAGTCACTTCTTGACCTTGACTTGAATAGTATGTCGATCAAATTGTCATCAGTGCTTATTTCAGGTTATATATGGTAGTAAGTGCATTGAACAAGATTAGATATTTGACCTGTTTGATTGCAAACTTTTCTATGAAAAATGTCACTTCCGAGGAAAACAAATTCCATTTTGGCCGTTTGATTGCAATGTGGAAATGGAAATCAAATTCTAAGGTATAACCACTTTAAACTACATTTTCTTTGTTTTCATGGAAAACGAATTTCTATGAGTTTGATGAGTTTTTATTTTTCAATTAACATGGAATTGGAATTCTTTTCATCTTTGCGTATCAAACTGACCGTTAGTCCTTTCTAAACTGCACCTTGAGGAGTCGAAGCTACTCCAACTTTAAAAATAATACAAATCATCTTAATTAACCATTGTTTAATGCCCATTATTTCATTAAAATGAGTTTTTAATAGTGAATTTTTGGAGAATGTGTGGTTAAAAAGTTAAAAAAAAAAAGTTTTAGGTGTATGTGTCAAATATTTTATTGTAAGAATATATAGTTAAAAATGAGTTTAAGAAAAAATGAATTTTGAAATAATGCGAATCGAACAAGAGTTTAATCTCGTTAACGTTCTGTGTCAAATATTGAACTAGACAAATTTTGCGATAAAGTTGTCCAATCCAATATAGTAACTAACATATACCAAATACCTTAATATAGTCCCTTTTTAGTTCAAACACTAAGTGTCAACAAGTGAAATCTTTTCTACAGGCTGCAAAGTAACCAATTATAATATAATGATAGCATAGATATTCTGTATAACACAAACCTGAATGCTAAACCCTAGCCCTAGTCAACTCCCCAAGAATATAGTCCCTTTTTAGTTTACCGCTACCTTTCTTTTGTTTGCCTTTTAAGGTACTGAACTTGATGAGAAAGTTGACAGTCTAGAGAGAATAGATATACAGAATCAAGAACCTGGGCTGCTGCTTGTTTATGAAATAGATGGTGAAAAGTCAAAATTGTCCTTCAGAAATTAAACTTTTTAATTATTCTTTGTACTATTAGCAAGGTTATATACGTCAATTGTGCTCAATATGTAAGTCAATTCATTTTGAGATGAAAAGAAGCTCCCAAAAGAAAAGGATGAAAAAATATTACCAAAAAGGATGAGGGTGGATGAAAACAGTAACTACAGCAATTAATACAATAACAGTAATGTTAACAGAAGGTACAAGGCTGCAAAGCAAGAGCCTGCATCTAGTCTTTATTTTTCTTCACTCTTTTTTTATATATTTTTTCTCTCTTAACATTAAATTTGTTGGACTGCCAATACCTCATTAAAACAATCACTGAAAAGCTACAAGCCTTGCTACAATTAATTCTAATTCAGTAGAAAGAAAAAAAAAAGACAGAAATGAAGACTGAGAGCAGAAAGAACTTACACAGTCTGTTCTAGTTGAATTCTAAAACTAGTCATTAGAATTGATAATAGCAAAGCCATCATAACATTTTGTCTCTTAGTTGTGAAGAGGGTTGGGCCCTGTGTGTACTAGTCTCTTTTCTTCTTCATACAACTTGTTTGAAGAACTTCCATTTGTTTCAGGACTCACAATTTGGGATGGACTTGTAGCTTCTTCATGATATGCCACCACCGTGTCGAAAACTCGGGCTTTCCTTGCCGGAAACAATCTTGAACTACCAGCAGTTTTACTTATCTTCTCAGAAGAAGATAAACAAATTTCTGAAAAGATTAAGAGCAACCAAAGAGAAGAAACTGCAATTCTTATTGTAGAATCCCATCTTTTTCTTCTTCTTCTTCTTGTTGGTTCGCCTTCCATGATAACTTTCATATCAGTTCACCAAGTTAAACACTAGAAAATTTGAAAATTCCTCAAAGCAGGCTAGAGATCTTTTAATACTTTAGGAAAATCTAAACCCTACTGCAAGACAGAAAGAGAGAGATCTAGAGAGAGAGAGAGAGAGAGAGATGTATGGCTCCTTATCTTATGGGTCTACTCACATGATCTTGGGCCTTGATTCGTGGAACCTTCTTAGACATATCCTATTTCTCCTGTGAATCTTGGAACTCTGGACCTTTTTACCTGTATGTAAACAAGAATGCTTTTGATGTGCATGTCAGATTTTGGCATCTGTTTATTATATATCTATATAATTATATATACATACATGAGTTATATATGTATAGTTTTGAGGTTTGAGAAAGAAGGGTATGGGAGAGTGGGACTGTCCAGTATTAATAGCCGTTGTCTGCGGACTCCATATATTTGACCTTTTAAATCTTAAAATGGAGGGCTTTGGCGAATTTTGACGGTGTAGTACAACTTTTGTATGGCTTGTTTGCTTGGCTATTGGTCTATAACACTAACACTGTTGGCATCAAACTCGTGCGATTGTTTCACTTTGGTCACCCTACTTTTATTTTAAATTCATGATTCAACTTTTGGTTTTGTTAATGAAAAATGTTGAAAAATCCGTTTTCTTCTTTCAAATGCAAGGGAATTTTTGATCATCTTAAAAACAGAGTATTGATATATATCATCACGAATGATTGACATCAATCCAGTTGTCAGGAGATCCGAATTTATCGTCCAATATAGTTAAATTACACTTTAAATTATTGGATAATGAATTAAAGGTCACATTGTTACGGATGTCACCGAAGCGGTTGCTAATCACCATCGGTGGTACATATCATTGTTCTCAAAAAGAATAAAATATTTTGAAAAATACAAATTTTAAAAGTTAAGGTATTTTTGGCAATTGAACTTTTTAAGCCCAATCATATTTTTTTGTCACACAGGTCAATATAGTCTTGTTACTTTTGAAAGATAGAGGTAGACAGAGTGGTATTATATTTGAGGTTTTTTTTTTTAAATCAAATCATCGTAGCAGTGGAGTATTTATTATAACAAAGTGCAATATTAACGCATATGATTCAATTCTAGTGTTATCCATCGTAGCAGTGGAGTATTTAAACCTTTCATTATTTTTTAACTACATATTTTCCATCAAGTCACTATTTAAAATGCATTATTTCCTCAATAATGTGTACCAAACACCGAACAAGATAGATTATTTACATTTCTACTTATAAGTAGACTATTTAAAATGCATTCTCCACTCGATAATATGCATCAAACATGATCGAAATCTCTGGAAATTTGGCCATCAATGATGAAAATTACGTGGGTGATGGCATGTTTAACTATTTTCATTCAATGCAATAATATGCAAATAACGACATACATATATACATGCAATTATAACAGTAGAACAATTGGGATACAGCTAAACATAAATGAGACAAGAACATGAGCAATTTGATAATTTACGTGCTTTGAAATAAACAAATCTATCTAGCTAATAAAATAATGTTAGAATGTTGCATTTATTTCTTTCATGTTTGAACATTTATATGCCATTAATTTATTTAATTGACTATATATTTGATTAGGTGAAGTTACTTTACCGACATAAAATTGTAACGTAAGGGAAAAACATAAATACTTGCTTGCTTTCAGACACAGTCCATAAAACTAGTGAATAAGTCAATAATTCTTTTCGTTTCAAATTAATTAAGATGGTGGTTGTCACTAAAATCTCAAAGTTATAAAGCATGGCTGTCCAATTTAT